TCACCGGGACGTGAACCGGCGACCTTCTAGCGGTGAGGCAACAGTGCTAACCACCACCATGCAGCCCCTACATCAGCATTTCGTTGAAGTAAAAGACAGAAGTCGTCTGCGGGGCTTTTATTTTGAAGCCGTCAGATGTGTGAGAGACGGCAGTGTGACGTCAGAGGTGACGTCGGCAACAATAGCTGCTGTGTGAGCGCGCGTGTGAGCGGATCAATCAGCCGATCACGGATCGATCAGGATGTCCTTCCAAAACAAGAAGAGCAGCACGAGACCCGCGGTAGGTCCAACCGAGCCGAGCCGAGCCGAGCCGAGCCCAGCCGAGCCGGTGCTCCCGTGAGGGAGGATGCTGCAGCTCCGCCTGTCAATCACCGCCGTTAGGAGGCTGAGACAGGAGGACCGGGCCGAACCGAGCCGAACTGAGCCACACAGCGCGGAGCAGGACAACTGCTGCGGCCCTGGCCCGGTTCGGTTGGGGTCGGCTCGGTTCACAGAGAGGTCCTGAGCAGCTGCAGCGTGCTGACCGGGCTCACATTAGTGATGCTTAATGGGTGACACGGTGCGTTCACGAGCGCTGGGACGTTTCAGCGCCGCACAGAAACGAACCGACTGGTCCCGTCAGAACTCACTCCAACAGGTCACCTGACTCTAACCACCTTTACCTGTGACATCATCACAGGTAAACCTCGGAGGTGAAGATTTGCTCCAGTGACACATTTTCTGCCGTCGATCGGTCCAGGTGGAATCAGAACTTGTCACAAGCGCCTGATTCATGTTTCTGAACTCACTCAGTGTCTCTTCTGATTGATCACAGGAGCTGAAACGAAGCCGCCGTTTCTTTATCACACGCTTCCCTTCAGATGTGTCACATGCAGCTTCAGAGGATTTAACCTGATTATGTCCTCTAACACCCAGAATCCTCTCTGTCTGTCTCCAGGGCGACCGGCTGATCATCAAAGGAGGAAAGGTGGTCAATGACGACCAGTCGTTCTATGCCGACGTCTACGTTGAGGACGGGACCATCAAGTAAATATATTCTAATCAAAGCTTACTTTGATGGCGCTGAGCCTGAACACCTGAGCGCCAGGTGTGTTAGTCTGACCGTCACCAGACCTGCTGTCGTGTCCTGATCAGACAGATCGGCGAGAACCTGATCGTCCCGCCCGGCGTGAAGACCGTGGACGCCTACGGTCAGCTGGTGATCCCCGGAGGGATCGACGCCAACACCAGCCTGCACGCGCCGCAGAAAGGCCTGAACCCGGCCGACGACTTCTACCAGGGAACCAGAGCCGCCCTGTCCGGAGGAACCACCACCATCAGTCAGTGATCAGCATCCATCAGCCAGACATCAGTCATCAATAATATTGGGTATTGATAACACTGGTTGTGTTGCAGTGGACCACGTGCTGGTAGAGCCGGGGACTAGTTTACTGTCAGCGTTCGATCTGTGGAAGGAGACGGCAGAGCAGAGGGCGTGCTGCGACTTCTCCCTCCACCTGGACATCACCCGCTGGCACGACGGGCTGTACGAGGAGCTGGAGACGCTGGTCAAAGATAAAGGTCAGCTCCATCATCAATAACCAATAATCAGT